CGCTCTTTAATGATACCCCAGACGCTGGCATTTTCAAATCAAATGAACAGTGTATAAAATTAGTTCTGCATGAAGTTAAAAAAAAATAGAAAGTGAAAGGGAGCTTTTAAAAGCTCCAGCATTTCTCCATCCAACTGCTTTTCACAAGGGTTTGGCATTTGAGAATTGCTACGTTTATGATGTTATTCACTGCTCATAATTTAGGCCTGCGTCTCCAAACTCCTGTATTAACACACACTGCAGAGGTTTCCACCACGAAATTTTATCACCGAGGTCTCACAAACTAGCCAGGCTGCCTCTGGTGACGGCTGGTTTCTCCACCAGTGCCAGGCCACGGTGCCTCCTCCCTTCTCATCAACCTTGTCACCCCAAACATTTTTCATTAACCTTGAACCCTGCATTTCCATTTGCCCTACAGCTTTCCCATGATTTTCTTGGTCCTTTTTAGGTTTGTTCTCCATCCAAACTGCCGTGTAAGTAATGAAGAAAATATCGTAGAATAATAAGAACAGATCTATAAAGAATCTAGAATTCACTGAACTCACAAAAACAATCTCTATGACCAAAGCAACTGTCTATAATTGTGGAAAATAGAGTAAACATACTGCTCTTATTAGAGACTCCTGTTGATTACACAAGTATTTTTAACTAAATCACCAAATAAATGTGAGTTAAGTTGATAGGTGATTTCGGGTCAACTCTAATTCCCAAGGTCAAGTAAGCCTTTGAACAGTGTTTAAGAATATAAGCTCACCCCAATTCATCAAAGCCGTCTCACACAGCGTTTTCTTCTCTTGGTTCTTACAATGCACTAAAGTTTAGGAGATTAAGTGGCGTCAGCTTCAAAACCCTCTAACATGCTTATCCATCCAGCAATCAGAAAAGCTACTCAAACAGGGGCTTCTTAATGCACTTCCTGACTTTACAACTGCATGGGGAATGCTGCATTGTTGAAGGACTGGAGGACTCCTCCCTAGGAATCGCCAATATTGTAGCCAAACATATTTACTACAGTTTAGCTTAGCCCTTGTTTAACAATCCGAGTGCAGGTTGCTTTCGTCTGCAACGAATATGTTTAGCATTTCTCATTTGTTCTCTGCTAACCTACCACGAGAGACGTTGGTTGGGGGTGGTGAAGGAAACATTGTTTTCCTACAACAAATACATTGCATTTTGTTATTCTTGCAATTCCTCAAAAGCTGACATGAGGAAAAAAGCTTCAGTTTGGTAAAGTATAGCCTCCAAATTAAATATAAGTTGCCCTTAGTAAAACTGACTGAATGTGAAAGAACATGCAACTAGAATGTTCTTTCTCAGAACCACAGGATCACGGAATGCCAGCACAAGGACACACAGACTTCACAAACTCCATCTCTCTCCAGTGCAGGGATCTTACTGACACCATTCCTAACCGAGGGGTTTACTGAGTAGATGCTGAGGTTCCCTCCCTCCTCCATTGGCTCCGATTGATGTGCAGAAACACAGAGGAGAACTCTAATGAGTTTTATTAGTGATTAGCAGATTTGGTTAAGGTAGGGAACAAAGTGATAGCCCCAAATTAATTTTGTTCTTTAATGCTTTGCTGGCACAGATGATCACAGACTGCAAGAGACAGTGTATTTTCTTCTCCATTCCCTAATCATAGTTTTTCTCTGTTTCCTGTTTCTAATCTTATTTTTCACCTTTATTTTTCTTGTTACTTTCTGTTTCCCTATCTACTGGAACTGTCTTATCTTCAACTCACCCTTTTCTCCCACTGCAAATCTTTCTGCATCCCTGTGTTGGAATAGATGGTTAACAAATTGATTCCAAATACTGAGCGTCCTACGGAGGCATTAGTTTTCCATTGCAAAGTGTATAGAAAGTGTAATTACTAACATCTTTGTATAAAAAAAAATCTTAATTTTAAAGTGAGGAAAAAGCATGAAGGCAAAACATTCTCTGAGTTTATTTTTTTCCCTTTCTTTTTAATTTTCTTTCAAAAGGGGATAGCAGGTAATATAATTTTTTCTCATTGGGAAATTCCAGTATGATCACAGGTTAATATAATAACATTGATGATATCAGAATAATCAGTAGCAGAGCATTATATAAATAATAGACATTATTCTAAGTGCTTTACATACGTTAACTCATTTAAATGTTCACATTTCTACAAGATAGATACTAATATCAACCTTATTTTGCAAACAAGGAAACAGGCACTGAGAGGTTAGTAACTGCACAAGATGACATAACTAGTAAGTGCAGACCCCAGATCTGTACCTGAACTCAGGCTCCGCAGACCATACCCTTGCTATGAATTTCTTTTCTTTGCTACTCAAATCTTCCTTTGAATCTTGATGGTAACTTAAAATCTGGAGATGGATGGCATGCTACAAAATCTGAAAACTGAATAGCTACTTTAGATTTCCATCCAACTAAACCAAGAAGCAAGCTTTTCTGTGCAAGGCTTTACTTGTGCTTTGTGTGTGGTTTGGAACTGTCTTCCATCCTCACAGAGCTTCTCGTGTTTGGCTCCGAGCTGCCTTAAGTCTGAAGAAGCCAGACAGCATGGCTGGGTCCAGCATCTCCCTGGGCTGCACTGCACAGGCTCTGACCAGACGGCGTTGTGCTGGAGCCAGTGGGCTCTCAGAGTGGCTCTCTGGTTAGAAAAAGGATTCAGAGGCGGCCCAGGGAAAGGGCTAAAACCCTCAGGGATACAGCTAATCGGAACAGTGTGTATATTTAATTTTGGACTAATTTGCATTTGGGTAGAAAATAACCCATTTCTTAACTTACAATCAGCAAAATGCTGGTCAGCAAATATGTCTGGAATAATATTCTCCTGTAGTAACTGTAAGATACAACTTCTACAGTGTATCTCTGAAGATGGAGCTGATCTTAACAAATCTAAAGATGACAGATTAGAAATACGGCAATTTCTGAGAATGGTCGTGGACACATACGCATGAGTGGTTACATTTTGGTAGCTTTAGTTAGACAGCACTCATGGCAGTTCCTTCTGCTGGAAACTGAGGAGCTCTGCTGACATTGTTTCCTGCTTCTAGAGCACTCTGCTGATGGTGGACCCTTTAATTTGTCTTAACAGAAGTCACTTTAAAGTGGCAAGGTTAGCAGCAGCATTGGGTTGGTTAGTAAAAAGATTCGTGGGAGACTTTCAACCCCTGAGTCTCAGTGCTGTTGCTTAGTTACAAAGTACAGTAAGTCGATTCTGGGCTGGGATGAGAATATGTAATAACATTCCTCTAAACATAACTAACTGGCAAAGGTCTAGTAAAATTTGGGATTCTAAAGTGTTTGGATAAAATAATTAGTTGATTAACAAAAAATGACAAAGGACACAAGGGCTTTGGGCCATACTTCATTTGCCCCCAGATTTGCTACATTTAGAAAATGCATGCCCTTTGAATGGCATGTCTATTTAGTTTCACATTATTTTGCTAGATTTGTCCCTAATCACCATTTACAAAAGTAGCACACATGTGTAAATGGGTACCAGATGATGGCACTTTCTGAGCCAGTTTCTGAGCTGGACCTTTGCTAAGGAAGCAGTCCCCATGGCCGGAGACTGCCCCAGGGTTGTGCAGCAGCACTGGACACATACTCCAAAAGCCTGGTGTCAAGTCTTGCCAGAGTATCCCTGGGCCACTGACTGTTCTTTCTGAGCCTCTGTTTTCTCCCCTTCACAATGCAAATAACTATTTCTTAGATTTGTTATAGGGAAAACATGGAATAAACAAAGAAGAAAACACCTGTTGAGTGCCTGATGTCCAGTATCGTTTTTTGTTTTGTTTTGTTTTGAGACAGGGTCTCGCTCTATCACCAGGGTGGAGTGGAGTGGCACAACTATGGCTCACTGTAACCTCGGCCTACTGAGCTCAGGTGAGCTCCGACATGGAATAATCTTATTTATTATGTCAGAAGTATTCTTCTTTGCTGATTTCTTCTGGGTATTCTACCACTCTAGCCTAGCCCCAACCCCAGCATTAGGGGGACATTGACCCCCAACAGGCATTTTCCCCCTCAACCCCTTGGAAGTGCCTCTCCTAAATACATCTGTACTACTTGCATCAGGAGTTTCAACTACTTAGGCTCAACACAGACTGATAGAAGGTCACTGAAAGCAAATCAATAAAACTGAAAGCCACTTCCCGAGTAGCTGAGACTACAGGCATGTGCCACTATGCCTGGAATTTTTTTTTTCTTTTTTTTTGGTAGACACAAGATTTTGCCATGTTGCTCAAGCTAGTCTCAAAGTCTTGGGTTCAAATGATTCTTCCGCCTTTGCCTCCCAAAGTGCTAGGATTACAGGTGTCAGTATATAGATTTTGATTATCTCTTTTCTCAGTCTTCAAAGGGTCCCATGTTAAATGCTGCACCACTTCCTAAACTCACGCGCACATCCCTGGCTGGCTCCACAAGCCTTCTGCCAGGACCTCGGGAACCATTTTTTATCACGTGCTAGGAGTGGCATCTGATGTATGGGGAGATGCAGGTTCCCACATACCCCCTCACCGGCCCTTTCTTGGTCCGAAATGGCCAGAATACATAAATGTTGAGTACTGAAATTATACACCTGTGAAGAAACGATTTGGTACTGTTCTTTCCACCTTTACTATTACTGGAAACTTGGAATCCAGAATAGAATTTTATGGTTAGATCCTGCAAATTGCAGTTTGTCGTGTAACCTTTTATATTTTGGTCTATGGACTTGTAAATAGGATGGCAAACTCTAAGCAGACTGTGTAGTATATGATTATTTTTTCTTTCTACTTAAGCACAAAATTCATTATTAACTGGGGGAAATGCAAAGATAATCTCAGTTTAGTTTACAAAAGCAGGCAAACAATGCATAGCTATAATTATTTATATATAGAGAGAGAGGTATATATAATATATGATATATGGGGGGTAGGGATAGAGAAGAAGAGAGGATATTACATCAAGGTATTAACTATACTGATATGTAAACAAACAACTTGATAGACAACTCTTACTTTATCACATCTCATCAGCCCCAAATATCTCAGAGACTTGCTGCTCTGTGCAATCAGGGTGGCTCCTTGATCTGTAATTTCTTTACACCATCCAACATCCACAGTCTCTATTGTCATGCTGTACCGCCCAATGGCTATCAGTGCTGCAAGAAGGAGCGGAGAGAAAGCATGAACGTTAGCAGTGTACAGGATCTCTATCTTATTATGACCATTTATCTCATTTCCTCACTAAATTTGTTCCTGAAATTTTGTGTGTAAATGAATGTTTTATAAACTAAATTCAATTTGAAATGCTTTAGGAAAGCTTCCCTATGACAAACCCTTTTGCAAAGTGAATAATCATTCTATAATTTCCCTTTCATTGGACATAACCTTTTATCAGTTTTATTCATTACAAGGTTACCTGTACTTTCATTCAGCTCTGCAGAAGGAATAAATTAAAATGGATTACACATATAACATTAAAAAAAACCCAAGTACTAACTAAATTTTACCCAAGATAACTTTAAATTTTTTTTTAAAGAAAAACCCATGCAAACACCATTTCGAGGTGTGTTATACTGCATGTGAACGTCTTTAACAATTGGCATAATTTTTTCCATCTGCTTATGACCTGTAAAGTTTCCTTCTTGGGACTGCTAGGAATTAAGAGTACATCATACATATGGCTGAATTTAATTGGTGCCATGCTAGAATACAGTAAAGAGAATGCATTTGTTATGGTGAATTTCCTCATCCTATCAGAAGTCTTTCTTCTATTAGCATATAAAATACAGCCTGTTGTCTGTAAACTATGAGAGTATCTGGAGTCTTCTCAGCTGCTTAGCATTGTACCACCACCAAAGTGCAGATACTTATCCCATATTTTATGATGTGCATTACTAATCACTGCAAAGCCCCATAACCTATTACCCCATCAGAGTGACCAATTGGTGAATGTCGCTCTTTTCTACCGGCTTTGATAAACATGCCTGCCTCTATATCTATGGAGCAGAAAAACAGATTTCAGTACCTCCAGCACCAGTTTATGGTGCATTAGTTTGTGAATCAAAACCCTGAAAACGATGTGACAAATCGCAAAAACAAAAGAGAAATGGCCTTCTGATAATTTGCTCTTTCTAAGATAGCATAAGTTGATTTCTGTTACAATAAAGGTGAATGCTACCTCCCAAAATGTGTTGGCTAGACGGATAATTTAGAGTGAAGTACTCATGCTAACAAATGTTTACTCCTACAGCTCACAGAAGAGACTACTTGGGAAAAATCTCTCTTTGCTAATTACCTCAGTATTTTTTTTTTTTTTTTACTAGAAAACCCGTGTCCGTACATTCCAGTATCAAAGCACTCCCAAGTAGCCAGATATTTAATGTTTATAAAAACAGCAATCATGATCTCGGTGTTTTCCAGTGAAAATACAGTAGAGAGCAATGGAAAGATAATTTTTAAAAAATTCTTTAGGTACCAGTTTGTTAATGTTTTCATCTTTGTGCATGCTGTTTTGATATTTAAAGTTTTCCAAGGGGTTTGGGGATTTGCCAGCTACTAAAGTTTTGCAGAAATGATCTGAATACTATTTTTGCATAGCAGGAGCAACATCCCAGGTTAATATCATTGGTGTCTCTGACCTAAGAAAATTGTTCTTTCTGGTATCATCATAACTTTCATTGATTATGATATCCTGAGATCTGCTATGAAAAGTGAAGTAGGGGATGCATAAAATAAATGCCTTTTAATACAAAGTGTCATCTCCAAAGATGACAAAGCACCAGTTGCAGGATGGCCTGAGGTTGGTAGATTTTGTGGAGTTGTTTTATTGAGGTCTGAGGCTAGAACACAAAGGGCTTGTACTACCCAGAAAAGCCCTAGACTATCAGAGCCTGCTTTATAAGCAGATGAAGAGTCAATAGCTATCGACTCTGGGTGGTAAAATCACTGATTTTTGATGTTTTCCTTTTTCTTTCTTTCTCTTTCTTCCTTTTCTTTCTTTTTTCTCCTTCCTTCCTTCCTTCCTTCCTTCCTTCCTTCCTTCCTTCCTTCCTTCCTTCCTCTCTTTCTTTGTTGCTTTCTTTTTATAGAAACTAAAATACACAATAAAGAAGGCAACTGAAGACAAATTAGAGTATTCAGCTTTTCTTTGGACCTAGTATTAGTTACTGAAGTAAGAATGGAACTTCATTATTTCTTAGCTCATTCATTTACTTAATAAACGCCTTGTGAACTCTGGAGTATTTCTGCCAACATTTATTGACTATATTCCATGTGCCAGGCTCTTGGCTAAGAATTTCAGGTGCATTATCTGATTTATTACTAACTGCAACCCTATTAAGTCTTATTGTTATATTCACTTTAATAATCAGGAAACAGATTATTATAAAGAGGTTGAATAGCTTTCCTAGTGTCACAAAACAGTAAGTGGGGGAGTAGATTTTAAGTTGGAATCCAGCTCCCAGCAGAATCATGGGGCAAGGCGCCTGGCAGTTCTCACAGGCTATGCCACCAGTGGTGGAACTGCAGTGTGACATACTGGGCCTGTGCTGGCTACTTGGAATACAAGATTCATGGAGCTCAGAGGCCAGTTGAGTGGAGGTGCGGGGTGGGTGGGAGGTAGAGTAGAAATGAGGAACAGCCCAGTAAACAGTCACAATCCAAGGCTCACCCTCCATTTCTTCCCTTTCCCAACTCCTTACCTTTCAGATCTCAGGTCAAAGGTCAACTTCTCAGAACTGATCACCCTATCATTTATTGCTATTGGGAATGTTCTTATTTGTTTATTTCTTTTTTTTTCCATTTATTTATTTTATTGCATTTTTATTTGTTTATTTCTTTGTGGCCCATTCCCTTATTAGAGCGATAGCTCCTGTTTGCTGCGGTATGCCCAGCATCTAGCACATGCCTGGTACAGAGCAGGCTCTTAAAAATATTTATTGAATATAGCAACCACTATAACAGAGGCAAGCTAAGGGGGCGTAAAATCTCCCTCACGCTTCAGGGAAACAGGGATACATCAGAAACCCTCAGCTGAGTTAGGTCTTGAAGGATGAGTAAGGATTTTCCAGATAAACAAAGAAGCAAGGATACGTATGCTGGGCAAAGTAAACAGCTTGTGTGAAAGTAAGAGAGGAGAAAGGACAAGCGGGCTGCAGGTATTCTATGTGGCTGAAGTAAAAACAAGTACAAGAAAGTGGGAAGACTCATTTCAAAGATTTATTCAGTGACGAATGGCACTGGGGCAGGTACAAGAGACACAGAGTGACAAAACCAAGCAGAGTCCTTGATGTCATGATGTTTATAGTCTAGCAGAAGAGGCAGATGTGAAACAAATAAACATAAAAGTAAACATAGCTCTAAACTGGGACAAGTGCTCTAAAGGAAATGGACTGAGCACTGCAGGAGAGAACACTTAGCTGGGGGTGTCAGGGAGGGTCTCTCTGATGAATTTACTCTTAATTCTTCCAACAGCTCTGCAGAAAAATACCCATTTCAGAAGGAAGAAAACAGAGTTTCAATAGTTCACCAAGGCCCAAAAATCGAATAAAGTGGCAGAACCAGGGTGCAAACTGAGGTTGTCTGGCTCCAAGGCCAGTGCTCATTCTGTTACAGCAGCAGCACCTAGGGTGGGAGGAAAGCCTGCACATGGTGAGAACAGATTTCTCTTTACCACTTTTGATTCCAAAATATCCGCAAGTGATTTGCTTCTCTTTGACTATATCATGTCCTTGGACAGTTTTTCATTGTTGTTTCATAAGCTAGCTATAAAACCTGTAGTGTGGTCTAGTCTCATGTTTGGTTCTAGGCTTACTACCTAGTAGATGTTTGACATCGAGATCACATTTAACTTTTCTGAGTCTCAGCTTCCTTACCTGAACAATAGGGATGTAGATTGTATGTCCTGTCTAATTCATGAGGTTGTTTTGTGGTTCAAGTGAGATAATAGATGTAAAGGACTTTGTACTACATAAATGTCATGATTTATTTGTTATTTCCCTAATCCACCCTACAGTTGTGTAGTTGCTATAAAATGAAAAGACTTGAAAGAATTTTGAAAAATAAACTCTGGGTAAATGATAGCATTATATAAATACTTAGTCATTATGTCACTGCTAGAGTTCTTGAACTGCCTACTCTCTATCAGTGATCATAAACTTCTAGTCTGCACCTGGGCTGATAGGGCTGTAAATGTAATGTATGATTACTACCTTCATTAGAGGCTGTTGACATATTACAATGGTATGTATTGAACCTTGAAAAGGAATAAATTATGCAAGACTAATTCCTAACTCCAATGCAATTTTAATATACTTTTTAATGTGCTAAGTGCAACTAATGAAAAAAGTTAAATTTTAAAAAAGGTACACAAATTAAGAGCTGTAGTTCAGTAACTTGTGTGCTGATGAAGTATATACATTAACCCCCTAACAGTCATTCCATAGGCATACAGATGATAGACAGAGTGATTAAAAGACTTAAGCACACATGCACTTAATTTTGACCAAGAAATTCCATTTCTAGGAATCTACTCTGACAATATACCTCTAATAGTACAAAATTACTTGAATATATACAAGTTTATTTATTGGAACACTAATTGTGGTTGCAAAATAATGGTAATAGCATAAATATCCATACATAGGAGAGTGATTGAATAAACTATGATATATCCACACAACTGAATAATACTATGCAGCTCTAAAAATGTAAATAAGGAAGATCACTAGGAATTAATCTGGAATAATTTTCAAATCATTAAGTGAAACAAAAGCAAAGGGCAAATAGTTTATATGATGTGCTACCACCCTTCATAAAAAGCAAAAGAAAATATAATAAAATACATATTAATCTGCTCATCTGTGCATAAGTAATAGGAGAAGCATAAACCAGACACCGCAAAAGACTGTAACTTAAGTTGGTTAAAAATAACAAAGCAGGCATGAGATGTGGGGGTGGGGTTGTGAGATAGATGGAAAGAAACTTCGTATAATAGCTCTTTTTATACAGCTTTGCCTCTGAACCATAGTAATGCTTTACAAACTTCCTAAAATTAAAAAAATATATATAAGAATCCAAAGAGAAATACAAACAGTAACAAACAAACCCAAATAAATAGCATAACCCAGATGAATAATACAATTATGCCAAAGGTGAA